AACAATATACTGTATTTGATTTGATTTGACAAATATTTGAATATTTGAATTCAAAATCAATAAATCAACTCTTTCTAATGATCACTTGGTCAACAACAATTTACCGAACTATAGTCAGCAATATAGAAAAGCGGACATAGTGAACATAGCAATATTCTTGATTTTGTACTAAGCAAACTTGTTGTTGACAAAGTTTACAATACGTGAAATACTGAGAAGCAGGCATATAAGAACATTAGGTGGGTTTGTGTCTTGGGTCAAGTTTTTTCTTCTTGACAGACTTTCTCACACATTTGACATCCAAACTAAAAGGTTTATTTTAGAAGCAAGTAGAGCAAAGTCTCTGGGCAAGAATATCAAGTAGATACTTGGAAACTGGACTATACAACTATAAAACTTATAAGAAGAATCTCACATATTCTCATTAACCCTCCACTTTTTTTTTGAGGAAAATTTTGTAAAAAAGTGAGCAATTTAGCTTATCCTCTTCAAAAGATCGACATATTGTTTACTTATCAAATCGGGTAGCATTGTTTACTTTTTTCTGCCACAACAAACACATGGATACTTATAGAATATAAACATATAGATTATATACCTCAGAAGTGACAACCTGAACAAACAATGCTTCGAAACCAACTATACAAATTTCTGACTTCTCTATGATGTCTGAAGTATGCTTTTGTTTATACTTCTATAAGAGTTTAAACAAAAGAAGCTGGAGAGCTTATAGTGCTAAAGTACAGTGCTGATATCAATAAGCTTTTTTTTTCTTTAGATTTTTGCTTAAATATACAAAATTAGTTAAATTAGAGTAGAGACTAGTTTAGATAGTAGTATGTAATTTTTTTTTTTGAATATTAATGGTAAGACCATGTTTCTGTCTTTATTAAAATTTAATTTAACTCTCTTATAAAGCAAAGATTATACAGAAGTATAACTCTTATACAAAGAAAAGAATAAATTTAAACTTCATATTCTAAGATAGCAAGAAAAAAAACTCAGACTAATTTATCTGCGGCCTAAACCAAAGTATATAATTTTTACAAAGCCCAACACAAGCTTATAATTGTAATTGTCTGATGTGAGCAAGAGCCTATATTTTTCTTTTTCTCATTTTCTTTTTACCTCTTTAATTTCTTGTTTATATCTTTTATCAGATTCCTTTATATCTCTGTGTTTTTTTTAAATTAGTTTTTTTCTTTTTACAGTACTTTCCTACAAGAAGATGTTATCAGATTGATAGTATCCTATTGTAGGACGGTAGGTTGGACAAGCCTACTAGTTAGAGTATTACCTTATAGGTTTTATCTTGCTAGTGTGGCAGGTTGCCAATGGGTGCTCTAGTAATTATATAGATAACTATGTAGTTAGTTATAAAGTAGCTGTGGGATATCAGGATTTCAGCTTTAATGTTAATAGTGATATATTTATAATCTTCTACAAGATTGAACTTAATTAAACATGATTACTAGTGCGATCTTACCAAAGTGAAAAAAAAAATTTTTTAAATTAATTTGAATTGAAACTATAGATTTAATAACTATTTATGCAAAATTTTATTATGATAATTGCTATTTTTATTGTCTGAAATGAAGTGACAGACTCTTATTTCTATGCATTATAATACGAAAATTACTTTTTTGATGCATAATATATTAAAATATCAAAAAAGTAACTTTGCATTTTCCGTCTATCTACTCACATGATTTAGAGTTACACAAAAATTTTAGGCTTATTCTACACCATACATGTCATTAATCTAGAAAAAAAGGTGAATTTTTTTGGTGCCACATTAAAAATAAGGTCATTTTTTCAAACTTTATTTTCTTATTCTACACTTCTATATGTTATTAATTTACAAAAAAGATGAGTTTTTTTGGTGCTACATTAAAAATAGGGCCTTTTTTAAGGCTTTATTTTTTTATTATATAGTTAGTAAATCATTTTTTGAAGATATCTCACAATCTACTAAGCTGATTTTGATGATTTAACTATTTTAGAATCGTCTCAATAAGCTCTACAACTTTAATTAGAGACTCAAAAATAATTAGCTTAGTACAAAAAGTTTAGAATCTAATATATTTAAATAAGTTCCAGACAAACAATACTTTGTATTTACTTAGTTCTAATTAATTAAAGGTATTTTGATTAGAAGAACATTTTTTACTTAATATATAAAATTGATTAGCTTAGTAAAATTTTACATAAATCAAGATTTTTAAAAAGTGATAAAATTTTAAAATTTTTAATAATATTTGAATATTATTTGATTCGTGACAACAAATATGTATATACATATGCCTCGAATGCAATGGATATCCGTACAAATGATGCTCTGAGACTCTGTTCTGACCTCTCTACCTTAAGCCGGTCGATGAAGTTTTTTCTATCAGGTTTTTACTTTTGTATACTAGTTTAGAGAAAAATAGAAGTAGAGACTAATTTGTCTAGTCAGTATGTAATTTTTTAAAGCCACCCATAGGCTGATAACCATGGCATTAAAATTAGCAAATTTCTGTTTTGTTTTTGTTTTTTTCGATATTCTTTTACACTTTTTTTTTTTATATTCTGTATTTTTTTATCGTATTTCCCTATACCTCTGTGTTTTTTTTTAGTTTGTTTGTTTTATTTTCTGATTTTGCTTCTTGATGAGCAGATAGCCGCCAGCTGATGAACAATGGGAAAAAAGTTCTTAGTGAGTTAAGGACCCTAAGGGAGGCCAAGAGCTACTGAGGCAGATCGCATCTGGTGTATAAAATCATGTGGGTAAGTTCTTCGTTTGGTTGGATCTACTTTAATTAGAGATAAATTACTTGTAATTTTGAATAACTTGATCCCAAATAAACAAGGGCAGGATAGCCGAATTAGAAAAAAAAATATAGCTAATAGTTTTTGCTAATATTTTTTGATCTAGTAATCCAAATTGAATAATTTTGATACCATTAGATTTCTCTCAATGATACGAATCCAATGGTACTAAATTTATCCAATTTGGACCATTGAGTTATGAGATATTAATATTTTTATAAAAAAATTAGATTATTTTTCTTCGACTTCTTTCTACTTTAGCAAACAACATAAAAAAAATATTATTTTTGTGAAACCCCCTCTCTTCCTCTTGCATAATGTTATTTATAGATACCCACTAACCAATTAAATTTAAAAAAATAATTTTTAAAAATTAAAAAAATTTTTAATAAACCAATCTTTTATTTACTTCTAATTAAAGTTGTAGAAAAGATTTTTATGATTCTAATAGTATTTAAATCATCCAAATTGGTCTAGTAGATCTCAAGATATTTGGGATCAAAGATGCAAAAATAATGATTTACAAATTACTAGTTATACAAAGTATTATAGACTTTGTATAACTCCCAAATATCTTGAGATCTACTAGGTCAATTTGGATGATCTAAATACTATTAGAATTATAAAAACCTTCTCTACAACTTTAATTAAAAGCCCAAGAGAGATTAGTTTATTAAAGCTTTTTTAATTTTTAAAAAATGATTTAAATATTTAAAAATAAATTTTGTATAATAGTATTTAGCTAAGTTACAAAAAACATTCACTAAATATTCAGTGAATGTTTTTTGTGACTTAGATTTAAATATATATATATTCATTGAATATTCATTAAATATTTGGTGAAAAAGTTAAATATTCGAATATACTATTCATCAGATCAGGCCTCTAATATCAACTGCTCAAACATCTGCTTCTTAGTATTTTATATCTTGTAACTTTGTCAACAATATATCTCTTGTATAGAACCAAGAATATTATTTGCTTTAGGTTTCTTATAACATTTTTTTGTAGTTCAATTTTCTGAAGTTGTTGATCAAAGAATTATTGAAAAGATTTGTTTTTTGTAAGCACAGGCCATAGGACAGATTCTATTTGTTTTTACTTTTCTTTATATTAAATCTTAGATTATAGTATAAAACTAGAATTAGATAAAGTTGATCCAGAACTCTCTAATAATTTGAAGACCCAGATCTTTAGTAAGTTGAAGATCTCATAAAAAAAAACCTAAAATAGGTAGTCATACATAAGTATACCCGAAGGAAAAACTGTTTACGTCTTTAGTTCTTATGTTTTTACATTCTGCTTGAATTATTATGTATTATGTTAAGAAGTTCGCTCCAACAAAGACTAACAAAGCATTAACTAAAGGCAAAACTGTCGAAAAAAAATAAAAAAATAAAAATATTAGTTGTTCAATTACCAGACTATAGCAAATTCAATGAATCGAAAATAACAAATCAAAGTTAAAATACCCAACCATTCAAAAACAACAAACTTGTTATTTTAACTAAAAATTTTATACAATTATAAAGTTTTAAAGTAAGGCATCTAGGGTAATACTTCAAATTTGGCTTGTTTTATTTGTCAGCAAGCATCAAGCGGAATCATAATACATATTTATTTTTTCTCTTTTTGATCGTCCATTTCATTTCACCCGAGCTAGTTTAGCAATGAGATTAAAAGATCGTTATTACTACCAAAAACTTATAATCATCTGTCTTTTATGTTATAATATATGAATATCTATTCGAAGCCATATTATTCATCCAACATTTGTGTACTAAAAAAAAAAATAATAATAACAATTATTAATTACTGTTATCAGACAATATGAAACATATCAGAACTATTAAAACAAACTGTACCTCAACGTCATCCATAGGATCCTCAGATTGCGCTTTATATTGCTCTACTTTTCGTTCTATTCGTTTGTTTGGATGCAGATTATGTTCCATGATGAGCTTGTCACAACCTGAATAATAAGTTCGATTAAAAAAAATATATTTGGCTTGATTTTCATCAATTCACGTAGATATAAGTATAATTACCGGTCATTGGACATGGGACTGAATTCATGTTACGCCTTATTAACTGCAAGATAGCGTCTTTTGAAAATGTATGTTTACACACATTACTATATATAGAATTAAACGTTAGAGATTTCTTGTTCCAAACGTCAAAAACAAGGATTATAGAAAATACCTTGTAACTGGTTCTTCCAACAATAATGTTGTGATTGGGCAATATAAAGATTCTTTTTGTCTTCCCATTACAATTTCATCATCGGCTTCTTTATCTAGTGGAGGCATAGTTTCATCAGGATGATTAACATCCTGTTCAAAATTGAACATTTCTCGTAAATTATCTTGACAACAGTTACATGTATGAACGTTGAACGTTATATATATATTATTTTTAATACCCAAATTTTTTGACGAAATTCGATGTAGTTTTCATTTTGAAAATATTTTTCATTCTCAGTTTTGGATTCGTACTTTTTTAAAGCATCGTCCAATTGTAATTTATAATCTTCCACAAGATCCTATTGTAAAATACTGTCTTTAGAACAAAAAATTGATACAAAAGATCCACTGAACTCTAAAAATATCACTTGCAAATTTGTGCCCTGCATCAGACTTAATTTTAAGGTTATTAAGCGCAGTTCTTTGAAAAGTGAGTTGATTTTCTAGATCAATATAATCTCTCGTAATAATATCTAATTGATTGAGCTAAATATATGTAATAAGCGTGTTTAGATTGAAAGAAACAAATCAGTCATTACCGGACAAGAATATCATTTACCTCTTCTTGTTCCTCAGCCTCTTCAAGGTCTGTTGCCGCTTCTGTCGCATAAGTGATTCCTCGTACAGTAAGGTGCATCATTTCGTTGAAATCCTTAAATAAACTATCGAACTCTCTTCGCTCATTATACTGAGATGTACCCAGTGGCCCTCGAGAACGACTAGACGACATGTTTGAAAATGCTTTAGCGATTGAACGCGTTATTTAATATATACGCGATATATTAAACGTAAACCTTTCATTTTAATTCGTGTAACATAGACCTGTTAAAAATAGATGTGTCACAATGGACAGATAGTTTAAATTTACGACAAGAGTAAAATAATTTAGACACCCATGTATAGTTCTCCATTTTACGATGCTAGGAGCAGTATAGAAAGCTCTTCAAGTAATGCTTCTAGTTTGGAAGAAAAAACGCGGCAATGGAGAAATGACGCATATTTCAAAAATTTGTATGAAACTGCTGTGTTTTGGGGAAACAAAGTTATGACAATGACTGGTACATTACTTACCTAGGACAATCAATTTCCCTCGAAAAAAAATTCATTGACATAAATATTCTTCAAACAGGCGACTCGAACGACGTGCTTTGGTTAGCACAAGTACATTATAACATGGGTCAATATGTCAGGGCACAAAAATTAATATGGAACCTCATAGATTCGAGCGTTGTATGCCGATTTCTAGCTGCAAAGTGTTGCGTGAGTATGAATTGATCAGCCAATGTTCCATCGCAATGCGTTAGCAATGTATTATCAATTTTGTCTTAATTTTAATAACCTATTATTCACATTAGCACGCGTTAAATGTTACTTATATGATATCCGTTGTATCTATTTTTTAGATTAAAATGGAAAAGTACCAAGAGGTATTAGATATTCTTGGTGATGAAAATCCATTTCTTGATGGAGGTTCGTTGTTATATAACTTAAAAAAATAAAAATAAAAAGAAATAAATCGTTACATGAATTAAAACTTAGACATAAATGTGTTAATTGATAGATTATAGTTCGGCTGACAAAAATGCAGAAGGAGGAATTAGTGTGAGCTCTTATGAATAACCTTATGTGTTATATGCAATTTTTACGTATTTCATTAAATATAATTCATGTTGTTCCTACCTGCATTAGCTTGAAGCGTCCATTTGCTACCTACGTGGGGTTGCGTACTCTCAACAGTCAGACTTAGATAACGCTAAAAAATGGTTTAAAAAAGCGTTGGAAATAGATGTTAAATGTTTTGAGGTGTGCTGAAGTTTTTTTTTTCTTATTTATTTTTAAATCAACAATTTGGGGATTTTTTTTTTATTTCAAAAATGTTATCTCTATAGGCGTTTAACGAACTAGTGATAAATCACATGATGAAAAGTAAGGAAGGTAAACTCAGCGTGTAAATGTGTACTTTTTTTGCTGTATCTAAACGTCCATTTACCTGATTAACATCTTCAATTATATATAGAATGGGACTTTGTTCATTCACTGAAATTTGACGAACAACTAGAATATGAAGAGGCCTATTTTGTCAAAATGAATTACATCTCAATGCTGAAAAAGGTTTGCTATCACTCAAACATCTTAGTACATTTCAATATTTTTTAAATAAGTTTTATTATTTTTATAGTATGAACACGTAACAGAAATTCAAGAAGCGCGATCAGAATTAGAAACCAAATTTCGACTATCAAACAATGCAGATATATTATTAAGTCGTGCAGATGAATTATATACTCAATGTCGATTCAAAGAATGCCTCGAAGTCACAACTAAGTGTGTATTTAGGAGATATTTGTTTTTATTATGAAAAGTTTATTTCTTAATATTTTAATTAATTTTTTTTTAAACAAAAAGACTGCTTGAACTTGACATGTATAACCAAGCGTGTCTTCCTATTCATATTGTATGTCTACACGAGTTGCGTGAGAAAAACAAACTGTTTTTATTTGCTCACGAGCTTGTTGAACATTCCCCGGATAAGGCTGTCACGTGGTTTAGCGTTGGTTGTTATAACTTTCTGATTGGTCAGAATGACGAAGCGAGGCGATATTTTACGTGAGTAAAATCATCAATTGTTTCATCATAACAAGATATTTCTAAAAAAACATATTATAATTTTATACTAAATAATTCACATAATCCATTAATTAATCCATAATTTTATCATAAATTTACATCACTCAAAAACACCAAAATACTTCACTTATTATTTAGCAAGGCATCTACTATGGATTCTCATTGCGGGCCAGCGTGGGTAGGATTTGGACATACGTTTGCTATAGAATCAGAGCATGATCAAGCAATAACAGCTTATTCTACAGCTGCAAAATTATATCCAGGGTATTGTTATTACCTGTGCTTTATTATGAAATCAATCGATTATTAACATCTGTATAATTATGTAATTAACTCACATCTCCCGACTCTTTTTATTGGTATGCAACATCTTCAAGCCAAAAATCTTCTGTCTGCTGAAGAATATCTATTGACAAGCTCTCAAATTTGTGAGAATGATCCATTGGCATTAAACGAATTGGGTGTACTTTATTTTCAAAAGCTCAAGTAAGTAATATATTATATTAACCGGTTTAATGAGGTAGGCCCTTAAAGAAATTTATCATTATCAGGTATGCTCAATCAGTCGACTTCTTTAAGAAGGCACATACGGTAGCAGAGGAAACAAAATGCCGGCCACAAGTATGGGAAACAATCTGGATTAACCTTGGCCATGCTTTCAGGCAGTTGGGGTAATTATCTGTACATGATTTAAAATGACTAGCTCATTATTTTCTTAATTATAACCGTGAACAATTTTTCTCTTAGCGAGCTGGATATTGCTGAGTCATATTTTCAACAAGTGGTGTCTATGTCACCACCCAATTCGGATGCGTTAACTGCATTAGGATATATTTATCATGTGAAGGAAGAGTTTGAAGAGGCGATCATGTATTATCATGAGGTTTTATATCTATTATATTTTATCATTTTATTCTCTTTGACTCATTCAATTGCCATTAGAACCACTAAAAACATTGAATCTATAATCGGTAGGCATTGGGTATATGTCCTTACGATCCAATAACGCATGATCTCCTGAGTGCATGCCTTAGAGAAATGGTCCATGGCTAAGAGGACCCTTAACGTAGACCTGAGGTTTACAATTTTATTCTATACTGGATAGCTTGAAATATGATTTGTTGATTAGTATTTAGCGTTTCTTTCTTTCTTTTTTTTTTTTTGAAGTTCTTTCAAGAAAAAATTGTATAAAATGTTAATAAAAAAAAATTTTTATATATAAAAAAATCTATACAAATTTCTTGATTGTGTGATCCTACCGAGTCAAATTTTATAGATGTTAGTAAACAGGAGACAACAAAACCGGTGGTTTGAAATTTCAACGTTATAAAACCAAGAAATTAACTTAGTCTAATTTATTTACTAATTTATTTATTTATTTTTTTTTTCACAAAGAAACAAAATTGTTATCAGTTATTGTAAAAACAATAAGTTGGGTTTAAAAATATTAGTAAGATATCAATAGACGTTAATTAGAATACCAATAGTATTAATAAGATACTAATGTTGTTAGCCGAAGTTGATATTTAGTCTGCCGAAATTCCAAAATAATGCCGAAATGTCTAAATAATCTCGAAATGTCTAATTTCTTAGCAAGTATTCGAACTTGTTTTATTTTGATTCAAAAATGGTTGCTTGTCTCTATCAAGCAGGTTTAATATATCGTTTGCCACTGCCTACATTACCCAGGGTCTTATTCAAGGATTCCATTTTTAAAATTGAATAGTACTCATGGGTAATTTGTGAAGAACCGGTACTATATTTGATAAATTATTATCGTTATCGGGTCGGGTCTTATTAGGCGTATATACTTTTCTAAATGATATCTGCTTGAAAATTTTGTACGTGCTTTTTTTTTCACACGGTACTCACTATGCCAAATGTTTTATAGATTACTATCAATTCAAAAATCAACTACTTTTAATGTACAGCACAAGCCCTCTCTGTCACTAATTTAGACATTTAGCCATATAGTATTTATTTTCAACAAGATCGAATACTTATACACCATAATACAATTTTAATTGATTTTTTATTGTTTTATTTTTTTACACTTTACATCTATTTTTATTAAAAAATCTATCTATATTAACAAAAAAAAAAACTTTTTAAAAAAATAATAATGCGTCAAAGACTTTCGGCACTAATTAATAATAAAAAAATTGTTAATAATTATTAAGTAAATATTTTTAATTTTCAGTATACAAAGTTTCCTTTACAAAGTAACTATCAAAATAGTAGATCTTATTTCAGAAACACATCAAACTACCGATTATGTGTTAGGACCAATCTTCTTGATAACCATTTCCTCCGGAGTCCTACCTGGTGGCCACCAAAACCTCGACTAAGAGTAAAGTTACACCTAGCCACCCCTTCGCTTAGAAACATTTTCAGAAATAACACTACCTTGACGATCGTGGTTTCTTATGAAAATGTTCACATCCACACAGGCAGGATTGTTCCGTCCATGTTATCCGTCCAGTTGGTTTCT